AACATTTGCTGCCAACTTCCCCATCTTGTCTAATATTATGGTTACTGGGAGACACAATCTCTATGTATAGCTTTCCTGCTATTGTCTCCATCCTATTTAATTCAATTTAATGACAACAGCAGATAGTCTCAGTACTTGTTCTGGAAGCCATTATTGGCATCCTGGATGAAGGAAAATAAATGGATTTGTTTCTGACAGAATCAGGTTTTGTGAGGCATGGATTAAGATAAGTAGGGTAGGCATGTAGCACTGTCCATAAGTCTATTGACTGTTTTAATTTTAGCACGCTATATGGCAAAATTGACATTCCTTTCAATGCATTTAGTTCTTAGTACAGCAGAATCCTCAATTTTGTATTGCACATGCTTAAATCTGATTCAAGTTAACTTTCCTCCTCAAGTCAAGGAGTGACAGTTGCTTTTCCAGTTCTTTAATTGTGAGAAATTATATATCTCTTTGACACCCCCAGATTTGCTCTCCTGCCATTAAGATATATCAGGATTGATATCAGAGATGAACATATTAATATAAAATGTCAATCATACAATAACCCCAAATTAAATATATATATATACATGGACAGATTAGGCAAGCCAGTTGTCTATTACTAGCTGATTAAAATTGCCAGAGAAAGACTGCCCAATTGGGCAGTGGAAACTTTGAATGTTTCTTTGAAAGAGAGCTGTCTTCCAACTTCTCTAAAAGAACCAATTGTAAGAACTTCATTGGACTCCCATCTTTCTAGATCACTATCAGTCTCTCTCTAATCTCCTCTAAGACCCAAGTCCTCGGATGGATAGTGGAAACAAACTCCAGGCTTTCTTGGATAAAATGGGATATCTGGATCCATTCCTATCTGGATTTGGACCTGACTAAGAGACAGAAAAATTCTTGGTCATCCTGGTGCATGAGCTATATCAGGAATTGGCCTGATGTGTGCGTGTCCCTGTTGGTCCTCCTGGATCATATAGTGACTTTTGATGCAATCAGTAATGGTATTCTTCTTGATCTTTAGGCTGATATAGGACATGAGGCATTGCTTTGCAGTGGTTCTAATCTTTCTTAGCCAAAGACTCCCAGATGATGGTACTGTGGAATTTTTGTTCAGTCTTTTGGCTACTGGCTTGTGGGAATTCACAGGGGTCAAAACCACTCTCTGCGTTTTTTCATATCTCTGTGAAGCTGCTCTGAGAAGCCGTCAAAAATTTAGGATTGAATGTCAATCATACAAGCCGGAGGCTTTCATTGCTTTTGTGCTTTAGGGTCACCATGGGTTAGGAACAACATGAAGGCACACAACAGCAATGAACAGGTTGAGCATCCCTTCTCTGTCAATCTGAAATGCTCCAAAATGCTCCACGTGGGTCACTGCCATAGTGAGGACTTTGCTGATGATTCAATGTACACAAAGTATTGTTGAAGGCTTTAATGGCTGGAATCATTGGGTTGCTGTGAGTTTTCTGAGCTGTATGGCTATGTTTCAGAAGCATTCTCTCCTGATGTTTCACCCACATGTATGGCAGGCATCCTCAGATGTTGTGAGAATGCCTGCCATAGATGAGGACAAAATGTCAAGAGAGAATGTTTCTGGAACATGGTCACACAGCCCAGAAAACTCACAGAAACCTAAATGGGAAGTGGTTTGTGGATGCCCTGAATAAATGCCTGAATGTCATGAAAAACTGGACATGGGTGAATAAATTGAGGCTCCAAGTAGAAAAGATGGAAGTGCTATGGGTCAGTAGCCAAACCAATCTGGGGTTGGCATCACTAACTATTCTGGCTGTGCACTCCCTCTGAAATATCAGATTCATAGCTGGGGGGTGTTCTTGGACCCAGCACGGCTCCTGGAAGATTAGGTTATTGCAGTAGGCTATAAAGGAGTACCTGCCCTGCTCTGGTAGTGTACCAGGTTTCCCCATTCCTGTGGAAAATCTGGCTACAGTAGTTTGTGTCTCTGTCTTTGTATTTAATATGTATTTTATAGAAATATGTTTTAATATGTATCTTTTACAGAACTACATTTTAATATGTGCTTTTATATAATTTTAGCAATGCTTGTGTGCTTTGACTGCTGTGACTCACATTGAGCCATGAGGAGAGAAAAGTAAGAAAAATTTATTATTATTATTATTATTATTATTATTATTATTATTATTATTTCTCCCAATTACTACTATAATGTGCCCTGTATGGGGCTCTCCTTGAAAACTTTTCAGAAGCTGCAGCTAGTGCAAAATGCAGCAGCCAGGAATAGATAATGGAGACCATATAACACCTTCTAATTTGCTTCCAGGCTCAATTCAGGGTACTGGTTTTGAGCCTAAAAGGCTTGGGGCCAAGAAATCTGCAAAAATTTTATGATGTGTTCAAGTAAAAAAAGTTTGAGATCTTCAGAGGTGGCTCTATTGCATAACTTAACCACTTGCAATATAATATAAGTGAAAAAAGTCACAGAGTCCCAAACCTAAGAAACCCTTTTGGGACAATTGCTAGAAGCTGTGCTGGATTTCCCAGCTTCCATGTCCATAATGACTGGGACACTTCTGAGAGTAGTCGTCCAAAAAAATTATATATCCAGGTACCAGGTTTACCTATCCAGAAGTTTGCCATATTTGTGACTACCGTTGGCTTAGAAGCAGTCCTGGTAGCAGAAATGGTTGGTGCCCATAATTTTGTGTACGTGTGTGCAGGTATCTTCATGTTCATACTGCACTGCACTTCCTTAGCTGGCAAACTACAGAATTAAGCCATTTCCCTTAGGAATAATTCAGTGTTGTCCAAAAATAGTTTTATTCATATCTATTTTTGTGCTTTGCTGTTCCGTGGGCAAGACCAGTTAAATCAAACAGGGAACATTTAGATAATCCTCCTACAATGAGGTATCTGTAATTCTGTCAGTTTGCCTTTGACATATGGTGACCTTATAAATGGGAAACCTCTTAAGTCACCCTATTATCAACAGCCCTGCTCAGGTCTCACACACTCAGGGCAATGGCTTCCTTGACTGAGCTTATCCTTCCGTAATGTAGACTTACTCTTATTGTATTTTTGCGTGAGTCATGTCTTCTCAGATATGTCTAAAGTATGACATTCTTGGTTTTCTAGGAAAGGTTAAGGTTTGATTTCCTCTAGGACCCATTTATAGTCAGCCACAATATCCACAGAACTCTTCTCCTACACCAAATTTTAAATGAATTGATTTTCTTCTTATCACCTTTTTTTTGTGCAGAAATTGGAAATGAACTATCCCAATATTAGTATAAATGATATAACTTTAATCTCCAGGATCTTGTCTAATTCTTTAATAGCATCTCTTTCAAATCCCTCTGCCTGATTTCTTGAATGTAGTCTTCATTCTGATTAATAACTGAGACAAAGTTGTGGGAAATCTTGAACTATTTCTTCAGTTTTCAATTCTCGATCTTCTGAGATTAATCCTGTTTTACATATGATATGTTCAGTGTAGTTAAACAGGTAGAATAATTCAGTGCACCCTTGTCTGATCTCCTTGTGAAATGAAAACCATTACATTTCTCCAAATACTGTCTAGACAGGAATCTTCTTTCCTGAGTGCTGCTTAACAGCAGAACAATCAAAGTAATTTTCTTCTGAAATTCGTTGTGGCAATCCACTTTCTTGTGTTTCATTTTTAATAGTCTCATCATAGGGTTTTTGTAGTGAAAGGTACTCAAAAGTATTTCTCCCTCTTTCTGTGCTGTACTTATAATGTTACAATAGTGCCATAACATTGTCCCTGAATGATTACTAGTGTCACTCCACACTACTGCTCTTGCCCAGTAGCTGTTTGGCATATTCAGTTTAGCTCATCAGAAAAAGTTTGCCTGAAATGGGACACCCTACCAGCAGCATAGCTTCTGCCTCGCAGGAACATGTAATCTCATTCTCATAAAAAGGTACTACTGTCATAAGGTAACACTGTAATACTGTGGTAAATTTCACTGAACTGGATCAAATTGTGCAACAATATCTATTGTTGTGATTCTTCTCTGAGTAGAGTTGCACAAGTTGAACTGATTTTGTAAACTGAGTCGCCTGCGGGCTGATATGGGCGGGATATAAGTGATGTAAATAAATAAATAAATAAATAAATTATGACCCCACTGCAACGACATTGTCTAGAATGAATGTACTGAGTCACAGTATATATACAACCCAAAGCAATCATATGTCTAACACGACACATTATAGTTCCATCTGTATATTGTTGGGGATTTCTCTGATGAAATATCGGTGGTGGCATCCCACAAACCATAAGAAACTGATGTTTTGTCTACTAATTCTGTATTAATCCTAAAGCTATTTGTCTCTTGAAATGATACCAATATTATAAGAATTTTCCTCCCAGTAATATTTTGATCAAAGAAAAATCACTTCTTGATAGTATCATCTTCACTAAAACAAGGACTGTTTAGTAATATAGGGCAGTGGTATTACTTCTCTAACTATATATACATGTTATAAAAATACTGATAGCTGCACCTAGAATATCTCCTTTAGATATTTCTTGTTTTGCCTTTGTGACAGTAGTTTGTTTTGCTATATTAGCTCACCATACTTGATGCTTCCCAATTTTCAGATATATATTATTATAAACTATGGAAGCTACTGTCAGATCATGGAAAATCCTTGAATTCATTCAATCATAACTTTATTTTAAAACTCAATACATCATATTTTAGATTGTGATTATTTTCCTGACGCTTATGCTTAATGATGATGAAAGCCTAACAGGTAAATCTAAGGTGCTGAATACTGGGCCATTTGGATTTTTCTCAGTACATGAAGTCCTGGAAACTACCCATTATGGTCTACCAGTCACTTACTAACAACATAACAAAACTTAAATGTTAATGCCTAGCCCATGAACAAAAATCTACATTTAGAAAAAAGAAGAGGTGGTGATTTTTCTGCTTTAGAGGTAATTCTAAGACGACTTAACTAAAACAAAACAAATAAAACACAGCAATAATGCTTACCCCATTCTTATCAAAAGCCTTGAACATGTTTTCCACATACTCTGCAGCTTGCTCATCATTCTGTACCCCAAAGAAATGCTTGAATTCATGCATGAAGAGAGTCCCACTTGGACATTCCACTACAAACTTCTTATACCATTCCTGAAGTTCAGCTGCATCGATATCAACTTGTTCACCTTCCTCATTAGTGAAATGCTGTCCCATGGTGGAAAACAGAGTAGACAGAATGTTTTAGTTTTTCCTGCTTGGCCTTTCCTTGCTTCTTAATTATATTTCCACCTTCCTCTTCCAGTGTTTGTTTTTGCTTTCTTCCCTCAGTGGGAACATTTAAACTGAGCTATTTCTCTCCCTCCTCTTTTTACTTTGTCCATCCAAGTGTATACTCCTGCAACCTGGAGTGTGTTCACTAATTAAGCCAGCACAAGATAAAGATGCCTAAGATCATTAGGAGATTCCCCTTCACACGTCACAGAGACCTTCAGATGGCTGGGATCAGTACCTTTGCTTAAAAGTCTCAGGGAAATATCTCCCCAAAAGCATTCATGTTAATATGCATATCCAAAAGTTCCCCTGTTAAGGGCTATTTAGTACAACTTACTTGCTGATTCTAAGGTTGAACCATTCATACAGCTGCTGTCATATAAACAAACAACACTTTTGTCACAGCCTTGTTGTCTCCCTCAAATTGCACAAGAGAGCTACAAGCAAAAAGAAAACTAAAACTAAATCATAAAAAATTAAATATAACATTTAATATTTCTGCTAAAGACAATTAACTTGACAAAGGACCACTCTGACAAGGGACTACTCTCTAACATTAGTACTGAAAGGGTTACAAATCAGGTTTTGGTCAACTTTAGATTCGGAAAATTGCATTGGATAGAACACATCAGCTCTAGTTTCTGATACAGAATATATGCCATGGTCAGCAATAGGGAAGAAATGGCTAGCAAAGCAAAGGGAGCAAAAACAGGCACGGTTGGCGGGGACGAGGGACAGGGCCTTCTCAGTGGTGGCCCCTCGGCTGTGGAACGCCCTTCCCACAGACATTAGATCGGCTCCCTCATTAATGGCATTTCGGAAGAAAGTGAAAACCTGGTTATTTGAACAGGCATTTGAATAGGCAGTGCAATGAATTATAATGAATTATAGGAAATAGGAACAACGGATGACGAACTTGGATTATGATTTTAGTTATGAGATGCTAATGAGTTCTTTATTGATGTTAATTGCTTAGTGTATTATTGTGTTAATTGTTTTTAAATGGTTTGTATGATGCTAGCATTGAATTTCTGTTGCTGTTTGTTGTTAACCGCTCTGAGTTGCCTAAGGGCTGAGAAGAGTGGTATACAAATAAAGTAAGTGAAAATGTGTTGTTCATTCGTTCAGTCGTCTCCGACTCTTCGTGACCTCATGGACCAGCCCACGCCAGAGCTCCCTGTCGGCCGTTACCACCCCCAGCTCCCTCCAGGTCAGTCCAGTCACTTCAAGGATGCCATCCATCCATCTTGCCCTTGGTCGGCCCCTCTTCCTTTTGCCTTCCACTTTCCCAGCATAATTGTCTTCTCTAGGCTTTGCTGTCTCCTCATGATGTGGCCAAAGTACTTCAACTTTGTCTCTAGTATCTTTCCCTCCAATGAGCAGTCGGGCTTTATTTCCTGGAGGATGGACTGGTTGGATCTTCTCGCAGTCCAAGGCACTCTCAGAACTTTCCTCCAACACCACAGCTCAAAAGCATCGATCTTCCTTCGCTCAGCCTTCCCTAAGGTCCAGCTCTCACATCCGTAGGTGACTACAGGGAATACCATGGCTTTGACTAGGCGGATCTTTGTTGCCAATGTGATGTCTCTACTCTTTACTATTTTATCGAGACTGGACATTGCTCTCCTCCCAAGAAGTAAGCGTCTTCTGATTTCCTGGCCACAGTCTGCATCTGCAGTAATCTTTGCACCTAGAAATACAAAGTCTGTCACGGCCTCCACGTTTCTCCCTCTATTTTCCAGTTGTCAATCATTCTTGTTGCCATAATCTTGGTTTTTTACGTTTAGCTGCAACCCGGCTTTTGCGCTTTCTTCTTTCACCTTGATTAGAAGGCTCCTCAGCTCCTCCTCGCTCTCGGCCATCAGAGTGGTGTCATCTGCATATCTGAGGTTGTTAATGTTTCTTCCAGCAATTTTCACCCCAGCTTTGCATTCATCCAGCCCCGCACATCCCATGATGTGTTCTGCATACAAGTTAAAAAGGTTGGGTGAGAGGATGCAGCCTTGCCGTACGCCTTTCCCAATCTTGAACCAGTCTGTTGTTCCTGGTCAGTTCTGACTGTTGCTACTTGGTCCTTGTACAGATTCCTCAGGAGAGAGACAAGGTGGCTTGAGATGCCCATCCCACTAAGAACTTGCCACAATTTATTATGATCCACACAGTCAAAGGCTTTAGAATAGTCAATGAAGCAGAAGTAGATGTTTTTCTGAAACTCCCTGCCTTTCTCCATTATCAAGCGGATATTGGCAATTTGGTCTCTCGTTCCTCTGCCTTTTCTAAACCCAGCTTGAACATCTGGCAACTCTCGCTCCATGTATTGCTGGAGTCTACCTTGCAGGATCTTGAGCATTACCTTACTGGCATGAGAAATAAGGGCCACTGTACGGAAGTTTGAGCAGTCTTTCGCATTTCCCTTTTTTGGTATGGGGATATAAGTTGATTTTTTCCAGTCTGATGGCCACTCTTGTGTTTTCCATATTTGCTGGCAAATGGCATGCATCACCTTGACAGCATCATCTTAAATAAAATAAATAAAAATAATAAAAACAATAAAATAAAATAAAATAAAATAAAGAAGAAGGACGTTCATGGATGAGATTTTCCTTCTCGTGCCCACTGGTGGTCCACAGCCCACAGGTTAAGAAACACTGATCTAAATGAAAGAAGAAAATTTTCTCAGGGACATTTAAAATACTGTATTATCTGGTGTACTATATGACTGGGCGTATGAGACAACTCCCCAACTTTTCAATTGAAAATTTCCATTTTTTTATATACTCGCCATATTAGACTACCCCTCGTGGCCATCCGGCGAGTATATCGCCTCCTCCTCCTCCACATTGACAGATGAGGTGGGCCTGGAGTGAAAAAGCCCCTCGGTCAGGCTGTCAATGTGGAGGAAGAGGAGGAGGAGGGGGAGAAGGAGGAGGAGGCGGCGATATACTCGCTGGATGACTGCGCCTCCTCCTCCTCCTCCACCTCCTCCTCCTCCTCCACCACCACCTCCGCTGCACTGACAGCCAAGGCAGGCCTGGAGTGGAAGAGCCCTTCAGTCAGACTGAAGCCTGGCAGCAGAAGCCAAGTAGCACCTGAGGGCTGCCCTCCGGAGCTTCTTCAGCCTGACCGAGGGGCTCTTCTATTCCAGGCCCATCTCGGTTGTCAGTGCAATGGAGGAGGAGGAGGCAACACAGCCATCCAGCAAGTATATTGCCGCCTCCTCCTCCACATTGACAGCCGAGGCAGGCTTGGAGTGAAAAGGCCCCTCGGAAGCGGGCACCAAGCAGCTCTGGAGGGCAACCCTCAGGTGCCACTTGGCTCCCGCTGCCAGGCTTCAGCCTGATCGAGGGGCTCTTCCACTCCATGCCTGCCTCGGCTGTCAGTGCAGTGGAGGTGGTGGTGGAGGAGGAGGTGGTGGAGGAGGAGGAGGCGCAGTCATCCAGCGAGTATATCACCTCCTACTCCTCCCCCTCCTCCTCCTCTTCCTCCACATTGACAGCCAAGGCAGGCCTGGAGTGGAAGAGCCCCTCAGTGAGGCTGAAGCCCAGTAGCAGGAGCCAAGTGGCACTGGAGGAGCGCAGCAGCTGCTGTGGCTTCGGGCGCCCTGCTCCAGCACCATGCAGCTGCCCACCTCCCTTGCCTTGACCCAAAACAGGAAGTGATATCTTATACCCAGTGTAGTATATGACCCCCAAGTTCAGGGAGGATTTTCCCAGGTTAAAAAGTCATCTAATGTGTCAGAAAATACGGTATATACTTCTGATACTTGTGCTTCAGACTCAATATGCCTCCCCCCAACACACTTTTTTTCCACCAAGACTGGAAGAGTCAGTATGCATTTTATTATGACAACATCTTTTTTGAAGGAATAGTGGTGGTTGGGGTGGGTTTGTGAATTTGCTGGATGAACAGGGATTCATAGCCAAGCCTTCCCTGGCCCATGGCTCTGGTTAATTCTCTGCCATTTCACTTTATCAGCTACTTGTAAAATGTCTCAGTTTCTGTCTTTTCTCCCCACAATCTCACTTTGTCTTCATATCAATTCCTGTATACTGAGGTCAAAGTGCAAAAGTAGATTGTGCTCAATTAAATGTTCCTTCCCATTAATAACGTTGCTCTCTCATGACCTGCCAACATACCTTTGACCACAGTTTAATGTTGCTCAGACACATGTCCTGATTTTCAGCCATAACATGATGGATGGCAGGTAGTCTATATTCAACAAACCTTTTCTAGTAAACCACAGTGTCCCTAACTCTCCTCCTCCCTGCATTACCTTTGAGCAATCCACACTTACATTTTGACTTATTATTGAAAATTATTGTGTTCAGACTCTACTAAGCCATGTGTACTCCAAGTTTTATGTTATTTTCTATGAAATACTACATACTTTATTAACTGGATATTAAGTGTGCATCTCTGTTATCTTATGCACTGTGTAGGGATGAAAGCAGAAAGCTTACATTAGTCCAGTTGCTGTAACCATCTCCTCTCATTTTAAAATCCACAGAGATTCATTATTTCCCAAGACCAAATCTGTGTTCACGTCAAGTGGAAACAAATGACCTATTGCTATAAATGTACTTGAGCTCTTCTGATGAGACAAATGGGATTCCGTTCAAAGAGGATTGGTACAGTATTAATAGGAAGCAATGGTAACTTTGATGTAATAATAGCAAGGTGCTCAGGATTGAAAAAGGGATGACTCATATTAAGAAGACTATAGACAAGTTGGAGTGAGTTCAGAGAAGGGGAACAAGGACAATAAGCAATATGGAGAACAACATATATGAGGAGAAGTTAAAGGAGTTGGGTGTGTTCGGCTTGGTACAGAGAAGACTGAGGAATAATGTAGCCAAACTCTTGAAATACCTCAAGGGTTGTCACAAAGAACATGGGGTAGGCCTGTTTTCTGCTGGCTCAGAGGGTAGAACTAGGTTAAATGGTTTTAAGAAGGGTAGATTTCAACTGTACATTAGCAGGAACATCTTGTCAGTGAGAGCTGTTTGACAATGGAACCAGATGCCTAAAATAATGATGGAATCACCTTCTTTGGATGTCTTCAAAAAGAAGTTGGGCAGCAATCTGCTGGGGATGCTCTAATGGGAGACTCTGTATTGATCAGTGAATTGGACCTGATGGTG